GTTTGATATTTTGAGCCGATTTTAGAAAACATTTTGGTAATAGTCCACTTTGATAGTCCAGTATAGTAACTTTGCAACTACATGTCAACTACCATTAGAGTATTAGTAGACTGTCTGATTAATATCTGCTAACTTTATTTTGATGGTGCCCCAACACATTCTACTAAATAGAAGTAACTCTGCACGTACTTATTCTACTAACCCTAACCTAACAGTCTATGAATATTATAGTTAGTTGACATGTAGTTACAAATTTACATATTGTTAGTAGAATATCTAAAGCTGACTCTCAAAATAATGTAAAAGTGTTCATAAAAACCTGAAAGTCTGGTAGTGTGTGATTCTCAGTCGTGTAGTGTATGATGCCCAGCGTATGTTTTGTTTTTTTGTTTTTCCTCTGTAACAATTTACAAAGTCGGCAAATGTATGATGCCTAGTATTTTACAGTCTTTCCAGATTTTACAAGTTGTGTGTATTCCACTTATGGTTTCATAGTCCTTAAAACAATGGGATTTTTGAACAGGTTAATGGTTAGTAGTCTGGCATAAGGTCATTTAGCAGACCAGTACATCAACACATCAGTAATACCCCACTCATAACGTTTTTTTGAAGCTTTTACATGCCTTGGAAAAGGCAGTTGTTAAAGTTGAATGATGAGACTAGGTTGTCTGAGGCATTAAATGTCATCACGCTGAACAGAAAAACTCTGCTCACTAGTCTGCTTTTAAAGCCTAGTTGTGTTTATAATCTTGCAAACTATTCTAACTCCCACTTATAGATTAAAAAAAATAAAGACTGCAGGAGTTGTTAGATCCTTAGTGGTCATAAAGTTGAAATCATGCAACTGTGGTGTAGTTAGTTTATAGCCTAACTTTAGCTTTTTGCTTGCAATGATTGTATTTAGGCTTCAAAATGCATAGATTAGGGGCCCGTTCTTCGTACGTCGCTTATTACATCCGAGATGAAATGTCACATCCAAGATGATATCATTGCGCTAATCAGGATCTGGCTAATTCGGTTCTTCGAACGCACCTGTTGTTGATGATTAGTATGGCTGGATTGAGTTATCTGAGATAATTGCGCGTTCATGGGTTGCTTTAAAAGGGGCCATGTATATTGATACTCGAAACCACGATCAGCAGAGCAGCGATTGGCTGGCGGCAATACAGCAACGTAATGACATCATATAATTAAAAAAGACACCTGACAAAAAACTTGACACATTTTTGGACTTTTATAAGGAAACAGCCAAGCGAACAAAACTACATAAATGTTATAAGAGATCAATAAAATGTGCACTGTTTTTATTTTATTTTAATTTTTTACATGATTCCCAATTATTTATATTCACGATTTATAATATTTGTACAGACTTTACATTTTTATTTCAATATAGTAATTAGCAATTAATTTAATATTTGAACAGATTTGTTACGTGACAGCATTAAATAAAGTTTCTTAAGGGTCAAGATCATGTTATCTGCATCTCCTGCGCTCCATCAAACCACTCCCATAATAGCGGTCATCACTCAAATTAATGCACGACTCTACATTATCTGTATAGCATGATGTATCGATGCTCGAAACCACGATCAGCAATGCAGCGATTGGCTGGCGGCAAGACAGCAACGTAATGACATCATATAATTAAAAAAGACACCTGACGAAAAACTTGACACATTTTTGGACTTTTATAAGGAAACAGCCAAGCGAACAAAACTACATAAATGTTATAATAGATAAATGAAATGTGCACTGTTTTTATTTTACTTTAATTTTTTTTCATGATTGCCAATTATTTATATTCACGATTTCTAATATTTGTACAGGCTTTACATTTTTATTTCAATGTAGTAATTAGCAATTCATTTAATTTTATATTTGAACAGATTTGTTACGTGACAGCATTAAATAAAGTTTCTTAAGGGTCAAGATCATGTTATCTGCATCTCCTGCGCTCCATCAAACCACTCCCATAATAGCGGTCATCACTCAAATTAATGCACGACTCTACATTATCTGTATAGCATGTGTGTAAGACTCGAATACAACTGTGAAGTAATAATTTTATGAAGCATAAATCTTTCAGTGAGTAAAACTAGCTCTGTCTATAGTATTAAATACTACACAACATTATATTATCTTTAAATACATTTTTAAATGATTATTATTTTAAATTATTGTCCCTGGATTAGTAGGGTACTCTTGTAATAAAGTAGCGGTGGTAGCGGACAGATTTTAAGTATCAATTCTGCTTAAAAAGATGCCATCTAATCCTGTTTACATGAAATAAGCCTGCTCCCGAGCAGGTTTAAGCTTACGGACCTGTTGCTATGACAGCAACTCCAGGATGAGCTTCGAAGAACCAAATAATGCAAAATCATGCCAAATCATCAACAATCAAATCCAGCTAACTGAGTTAGCGACGTACGAAGAACG